TATATATATATGCAAGTATGTTGACTTATTTTTATATTGTAAATTTCACACTTTAAGGAGGCTTACCTACAAATATCCTTCGAGAGTCTGAGTGACGTGATAACGAAAAAATTCTTTACACAGACGATGAATATAACTTATAATCGAAAATTATATCGACAAATTAAGAATAAATTTTACATTATTTTAAATATTTTTATTTATTTTGCAGAATCGATGTGTAAATATGATAGCTCATTTGTTTAATGCACCACTTGGAGATGGAGAGACTGCAGTTGGAGTTGGAACTGTTGGATCCTCTGAAGCTATTATGCTTGCTGGATTAGCCTTTAAAAGAAAATGGCAAAATAAAATGAAAGCCCAAGGCAAGCCCTTTGATAAGCCCAATATCGTCACCGGTGCTAATGTCCAGGTGAGAAACGTATATTTTTAGCCGCTCCTAAAAAATAATAAATAACAATATATATATATTTTTTGGTATGCGTGTTTTATGTACATATTTAGTAAATGCAATTAGTTTCAGCCGACCAACTAATTTTTTTTTTTGCCCTATTTTATATCTAGTAAATGCATTTAGTTTCAGCTGACCGACCATTTTGTATTTTGCCCAATCTTAGCCTATCATGATCTTTACACAAGTAGCCAATCAAATTCATTGCTTACTTTTTTTAGCTGGTATACATAGATTATACATCAATTATACATATATTTTACATTCAATGCTATTTTTAGTTTAAACGGCTGGGTGGGCAGCTAATTAGGTTAGTTATTCTAACTTTATTATATATATTATATACATTGACACTATACCTAATTTTGTTACCATAAGTGTGTTTTAATATGTTGTGATAGGTAACATATGTTACTTTCGAGGCTACTAATTCGATTTCTTATGGACTGTTACCTGTATTTATCTTTTAATTTACTTGATAATGTAGAATTTTCTTTACACGGTTGCGTAGAGAAGTTAAACTCTATAAAATATATGAATTTGTTTCCAAAATTTAGGAGTTGAGAGGGGGCTAATTTGTAATTTTAACAGGTGTGTTGGGAGAAATTTGCAAGGTATTTTGAAGTGGAGTTGAAAGAAGTAAAATTGAGTGATGGATACTATGTGATGGACCCTGAGAAAGCTGTGGAAATGGTGGATGAGAATACCATTTGTGTTGCTGCTATCTTAGGTTCAACACTCAATGGTGAATTTGAAGATGTTAAGCGTTTGAATGACCTTTTGATTGAGAAGAACAAAGAAACCGGGTAAGTCGCGATTTCGCAGAGCTTTTTGGTTGTTAAGTTATAGCGTCTGACGGAACAACATCTAATAATTCCGATCATTCTGGTTCGCACTATACTTAAGTCATCTTTGAAGAGTATATCTCTTCAATAGTATATCAATCGTATGCATCTAACTATCAACGTAGGCCGTCTTCTAACATTATTGAAAAGAAAATAAGGGAGTCTTGGAGCAACGGTAAAGTTGTTTCTGTGTGACTTATAGGTCACGAGTTCGAGCCATAGAAGGAGTCACTAATGTCTGTGTTAAGGTAGACTGTCTACGTCTAAGTTGCTCGAACTCGAGTGTGGGTTTCTGATACGGGGACGTATCCAAGTATCGGATCCGACAAAATCTAAAATTTAAGATTCGGGGGTGCGGATCCGGATATGGATACGGGTTCGGGATTCGGTTAATAAAAAATCGAGCTATAAAAATATTGTAAATTTTGAGAGATATTCTGTGAAAAACTTACATGGATATTGTAGAATTCAATCTTTCATTCTCCAAGGTGAACATTATTCTTTCATTCTCCGACATCTGCTTTAGTTTTGATTTTGAGAAATCAAAATCTCAATTTTTCTCCTAAATTTGTCGATGGACTCCGGTCAAAGTGTCTGAAGTCAGTTGACTGAATCCGGGACTTATCCTGCTCACGTCCCCGTCTCGTATCGGGACGTGGACAGCACCAAAATCAAAGAGTCCGCGCAACTTAGGTTTACATCACACCCTTTGTGGTGCGGCCCTTTCCTAGACCCCGAATGCACGATACTTTATACGCCGAGCTTTTTTTTTTCTATATAAATATTATAATATATGGTTGATAATTGGTAACAGGTGGGACACTCCAATTCATGTGGATGCAGCAAGTGGTGGATTTATTGCACCATTCCTTTATCCAGAGCTTGAATGGGACTTTAGATTGCCATTGGTGAAGAGTATTAATGTGAGTGGTCACAAATATGGTCTTGTCTATGCTGGTATTGGTTGGGCCATTTGGAGGAATAAGGAAGACTTGCCTGATGAACTTATTTTCCACATCAATTACCTTGGTGCTGATCAACCTACTTTCACTCTCAACTTCTCTAAAGGTAATTCCTTCATTACAAGTCCTTAAATATGTGAATAATCGTATACGAGCCAGGATTTGAGGTTAATGAGTTGGGGACTTGCTATTATATTCATAACTCGTCAAAAGTCGAGTCCAGATGACACCATTCTTTTCTTCGAAAGTGGAATTTTGGAGCAACGGTAAAGTTATCTCCGTGTGATTTAAAGGGTCACGGGTTCGAGCAATGGAAGCAGACGCTAATGATTGCATTAGGCTAGGTTGTTTACATCACACTCCTTGGAGTATGGTACTTCCACAGATCCTTTGTGAATGCATGATGCTTTATGCACCGAGCTGACCGTTGCTATCTTAAAGCATATGATGCTACAATTAGCTAGATATGAATATATTTGTAACATTGAAAAATACCACTTGAATTATATCACTAAACTTACGAATTTAATCATTTTTTGCTATTGTAATGCAGGTTCTAGCCAAGTAATTGCTCAATATTACCAACTTATTCGCTTGGGTTTTGAGGTAAGTTAAGATTAATTTTGATATTCACAGGCGTCTTGCCTATGAATATCATTTGAATGACATGATATAAGAAACTTGAACTCTAAAAATAATATCCTTTTCACAACCAACACACTTTAAATATACTCTTTACAAATTGAAATTTTCGAAAGTAAAGCCTCGGCGTAACTGGCAATGTTGCTATCATGTTGACCAGAAGGTCATTGATTCGAGTAGTGGAAACAGTCTCTTGTAGAAATGCAGGGTAAGACTGCGTACAATAGACCCTTGTGGTCCGGCCCTTTCTCCAACCCCCACGCATAGCGAGAGCTTATGCACCAGACTGCTTTTTTTTACGATCTGAAATTTCTATGTTAAAACAGGGTTACAAGAATGTTATGGAGAATTGTCAAGAAAATGCAAGGGTATTAAGAGAAGGAATTGAAAAAAGTGGAAGATTCAACATAATCTCCAAAGAAATTGGAGTTCCCTTAGTAGCATTTTCTCTTAAAGACAACAGTCAACACAATGAGTTCGAAATTTCTGAAACTCTTAGAAGATTTGGATGGATTGTTCCTGCATATACTATGCCACCAAATGCTCAACATGTTACAGTTCTCAGAGTTGTCATTAGAGAAGATTTCTCCCGCACACTAGCGGAGCGACTGGTAAGTATAATTACGTCTCAGTTCCAAATAAGTTGATGATGTTAGACTATATGAATCGTAATTTCTTCGTTTTAACTTATAATTAACCATTTACGAGTGTTTTTCGAGCGTATAACTTACAAAAGGAAAAAGACATCTTCTTGTCTTGCATCTCTATCAAAGTATCTTTTCTCTTTTCCTCCAAAAACACTCCTTTCTCTCACAATTCTATTTTTAAAGGACTCGTGTACAATGTATTCCGCGTTCACGATGGATCCGGGAAAGAGTTACATCCAAGGGGTTTGATGTAATAGTCTACCCTAATATAAGCGTTAGTGGCTGCTTTCGCAGCTCGAACGCATAACCTATAAGTCACACGAGACCTATAGGTTTCAATTCTATTCTTAAAACCCTAAAATATGTCTTGATTTCGTAACAAAAAATTCTCCCCTATTTTATTAGTACAAAAGTTCGATAGACTTGTGATATTTATTATAGCTACTTGTGTTCAATCCTATAGCAATTTCTTTTACGAGTTTTTTCTTCCATATAAATTGATTCTTTACATGCAAAAGAAAAAAAAATCTTCTTGTCTTTAATTTGCATGTATTATCAAAAAATCTTTTTGCTTTTCCTCCAAAAACACTTCTTTCTTCCCAAATTTTATGTACTTAAACTTGAAATATGCCATGCTTTACTAACCAAAACTCTCCACTATTTCATTAGCATAGAAATTCGAAAGACTTGTCACTAGTTATATTTACTAGAAGAATTAACCATAATAGCAGTTCAGCCAGCGGATAGATAATATATGTATAATTAATGTACAAAGACTATTAACGTTCAATCCTAATCTTTTGTGTTTTACATTAATATTTTTCCGATTCAAACAGGTAATAGACATTGAAAAAGTCCTCCACGAGCTAGACACACTTCCGGCGAGGGTCAACGCTAAGCTAGCCGTGGCCGAGGCGAATGGCAGCGGCGTGCATAAGAAAACAGATAGAGAAGTGCAGCTAGAGATTACTACTGCATGGAAGAAATTTGTTGCTGATAAGAAGAAGAAGACTAATGGAGTTTGTTAATTTAATTTAACAAAAAAAAAGTTTATAATATGGTGATTTATGTAACTACTAGCAGTCGTACTGCTTGTTTTTTATATTTGAGTTGATGTGTTTTTTGAGCACTTGAGGAGCTAGCTAGTTATTGCTAGTGAAAAATTGGATGATATATTTTGGACTACTTTGTAAGTTTGTATTATTAATCCAAATTAAACGATATTTATCATGCATGTGATTTATAAAAAAGTTGTGAGTGCTTGAGGTCTAGTTTACTCGATATGATTTTCTTTTATTACTAGATATGAAAAACTTGTGATCGATCCTTTATATTCGAACATTATATACATGGGGGCGGGGCGGAGGTAGAAAAGTCCAGATATGAGTTCAAGTCGAATCCATAGCTTTTACGCAAATAGTTTATTTATATTAAGAATATCATTATCTATTACCTATTGCACTTCAACCTTACAAAACACATATTCCAATGGTAAACACTTACTCATACTCTCTCTTCGACTCTCTCTTTCTCTCCTCGACCAACAGTCGACTTCGACCATCCCCCTCTCTCTCCGACGAACATCCTCCACAGGCGAGCCGACGTCGGCCTCTCTGATCAGCGGTCCTAGTTCCCTTGTATGGGTCGAAATCCGGCTTACAAAATTCGGCGTGGGAAGATTGTTAAGTGAGAAAATTATGATTTAACTTCGGCGGTTAGGCCGAGGTCGGCCAGTGCCCAACAATGATAATCGATGAGCAAGCCGATAAAGCTGAGGTCGGCAGTGAAGAATAGGAATAACGACTAGTATGTAAGACTCATTCTGATAAGAACTCTTGTGACAAGTTGACTCTTGAGATATAATACAAAACTTTACCTTTCCACAGTGATTGATTTTGTTGTTTATTCTATCCTTCCACTCACACGATCCGAGAAAGCTTTGTCCATTTTCATATTCATTTATCACACGTTGTTGTCAGAGGGAAGAATCATCCACATCATTCAATACTTGGGTGAACCGTTCTTCTTATTTACATTTATTGCCATTTTTCATACTTATTGCTCATTCTTGCCCCTTCATTTATTCTAAAAAGCTTCATTTAATAATCTGATAATTAGTTTTACGTACTAGTGGACGTCACTGTTTAGGCATGTGACTAGATCTAAGATTTATTATGCTTGACTAGGATTTACTTTTCACCTTATTTATCTTGTAATTAGTTTAGCAAAAAGTGTCATACTTTTTGGTCAAACAATTGGGCGCCGTCTGTGGGGATTTTCTAGTCAAAATCATAGTTTTTCTAGATCTACAAAAATCACACCAACAGCCAAATATTGAACCTTGTTTTTCCTATTTGCACGATCTAACATGGTAGGAAATGAAGAAGAAAGAAGAAGGCAGTGACAGACCTTACCGCTAATCTCCTAAGCACCACCAATGAGATTCACGGAGAAGACGAGGAGAACGTGACACCAAGTGGTTCACCCCTCCCTCATGGCAGCGTTACCGCCTCCCATGGAAAAGGAGCCTCTACGTCCACGACTGAAGAAGCATCACTAATGGTGAAAAAACTACTAGAATCTTGGCTAACGAGTACACTTAACAATATACTCGACAAACCCGCTCAAAGAGTGAGTAGGGAGGATGAACGAGTCGACATCATAATAACAACCAGTGAGCAGCACGCCCCCCTCCTTCAATAAGTATCACTCACTCTGTTAATGATGCAAGTAATGATGCCCTCGCTGCTATCCTAAGAAAAATAGAGGAGATGGAGAATGAGAACAAAGCACTCCGCGACCAAATGAGAGAGCACCAACAAAGGGTGGATAAGATATCAGGCGCCCAAAACTCCTACCAAAGCGGGACGCCGGCCGGTTTGTGGAACAACCGTATAGCGACGAGACCGCACCACATGCTATACCAAAAAAATTCAAGATGCCACCATACTTGAAGATATACGATGGTACGATGGACCCTGAGGATCACATCATCCACTATGTTACCGCAGTGAAAAGCAACGACCTCACTAAAGAGCAAATACCATCTATATTGCTAAAAATGTTTGGCGAAACCCTAACTGGGGGAGCACTGACATGGTATTCGCAATTGCCCGCACGATCCGTAGAAACATTTAAGGAGATGGCCGACAAGTTCGTCATCGCCCATGCTGGGGCCAAGAATGCAGAAGCCAGAGTGAATGATATATTCACCATTAAACAGTCACCCGGCAAAGGACTCAAGGACTTCCTCACCCGGTTCAACAAAGTGAGAATGACCCTTCTAAATGTGTCAGAGGGAATGGCAGTAGTAGCTTTCCAAAACGGGCTGAACAGGAGCGGGTCGAGGGTGACCAAAAAATTGTTGAGTAGACTCATGAAGTACCCCCAACTACTTGGGAAGAAATACACAACACTTATTGTGCCGAGGTGAGAGCGGACAAGGACGGCCTTAACGGACCAACCCAGCGGTTCACGTCGGTCCATATGGAGTCGAGAAAAGACCGTAGAAGGGATCATGTAGGTCCGCGCCTCAATCGCGAAAGACACCGGCCATACATCAGAACTGTCGTCGCACCACTCCTCCCCTTGCCATGGTGACGGCCCATCTAGTCCGCAAACGGGGACTCACCGAAACGAAAGAGGTATGCCTCCACTGTTATCTCCTCATAATTTTTGTGTTTCTCCTTTAGAGATAGTCTATTCTCTAGAGAAGCTCGGCCCTAAGGTGAAATGTCCACAAAAGATGAAGTCCGACCCAAACACCAGAAAGTCGAATGCCCGCTGTGAATTCCCTCAGGACTGAGTCCACAAGACTGAGGACTGTATCGCCTTAAGGCAAGAGGTAGTAAACATGCTCCACCAGGGGTATTTGAGAGAGCTGATGAGCGACCGAGGAAGAGTGAACTTCGCTCGTGGGCGAGAGAAACATCAAGGCCTGCGGAAGCTGTCCTCCCCAGCCCGCACCATCCAAATGATCATCGGCAGAGGCGACGACACGACAATCAACAACGTGAAATTCACAACCATCCACAAGTTGAAGCAGTCGATCACCCATGAACGGTATGACGACCTCGAAGAAAGTATCATCTTCGATGAGTCGAATACCCACGGTTTGATCTTTCCTCACTATGATGCTCGTGTTATTACTTAATGAATTTCATATACTGATGTAAAATGGATTATGGTAGATGACGAAAGCGATGCGTGTAATATCCACCCTAGAGTTCTCGCACAAATGAGGCTCGAGGATAAGATAGTACCACACTGCATCACACTAACAGGTTTTAACAATACAGTTGAACGGACCTCCAGAGAAATCACACTACCCGTTCTAGCCAGTAGTATCACCTTGGAAACAAAGTTCCACATCATGAATCAAGACACGGCGTACAACGCCATCATAGGACGACCTTGGTTACACGCCATGAGGGCCATCCCATCCAGTCTATATCAGGTCATCAAGTTTCCCACCCCTTGGGGAGTGTTCATCATTCGCGGCGAGCAACGCACAGCCCAAAAATGCTACCGCATCGCCCAAGATTGCACGTACACCTAACAGTTGAAAAATAAAGGCATAGAAGCACAGCAATTAGCGAGGTCGAGGTCAGACGGTGACAAATGAAAAGATGTCATCAAAAACCTCGAGTCGTGGAAGCCACGAGATCAACTGTGGAAGACCTCGATCCCGTTCAACTAGATAAAAGTGACCACAACAAAAAAGCTTTTATCGGCCACAAACTTCAAGAACCAAGTAAATTCCATAAATCTTTAACTGACAACGCAAACTTTGCCTTCTCCCATGCAGATATGCTAGGCATTCCGAAGGAAATAGCAACACACAAGCTGAACATCGACCCACTTTACCTGCCGGTACGACAGGCTAGAAGAAAATTCAATGCCATAATAAATGATGTCATCCACGAAGAGGTGGGAAAACTGCTCGCAAAAGGCTCCATAAGGGAGTCAAAGTAACCCCCAATGGGTCGCCAACGTGGTCATGGTGAAAAAGAAAAACGGGAAATGGTGCATGTGCTTGGACTTCACAGATCTAAACAAGGCCTGCCCGAAAGATTCATTTCCACTGCCTCACACTGATCAACTCATTGACACAACAGTAGGGCACGAGCTGTTAAGTTTCTTGGACACCTACTCGGTCTACAACTAAATCCTCATGGAGAAGGAGGACCAGGAAAAAACTACTTTCATCACCCACCAAGGGATGTACTACTACAGGGTCATGCCGTTCGGACAGAAAAATGCAGGGGCAACCTATCAGAGGCTAGTAACCAAAATGTTCAAAGAACAGCTCGGAAAAATAATGGAAGTATATATAGACGACATATTGGTGAAGTCGAAAAGAAAGGAAGATCACATCGACCATCTGAGAGAGGCCTTCGACATACTTAGGCGATATGACATGAAGCTGAATCCCGAGAAATGCGCCTCCGGCGTAACCTCAGAAAAATTCCTCGGCTTTTTGGTGTCGCAGAGAGGCACTGCTGTTAACCCCGACCAAATCAAGGCTATAGAGGGAATACCAGAAAACTTGACCAGCAAGAAGCAGGTGCAAAAGCTAACCAGCCGAATAGCCGCCCTATCGAGGTTCACATCACTATCCTCTGATAGGTGCCACAAATTCTTTAGCGTACTCAAAAAGGACAACAGATTCAAATGGAATTCCGAGTGCTTCAACACCCTAAGAGAATTAACGGCATACTTGTCCTCGCCCCTGCTGCTTGCTAAGGCGGAACCCGGAGAGCGCCTCCTAATCTACCTGGCCGTGTCCGACGTTGCAGTAAGCGCATTCCTGGTCCTTGAAAACAAAGGTATGCAATCTCCAATCTACTACATTAGCAAAACCTTGGTTGATGCAAAAACAAGGTACCCTCACCTTAAAAAGCTAGCCCTGGCTTTAGTCGTAGCTTCATGAAAGCTTAGACCATATTTCCAATGCCACCCCATCTCAGTGGTCACGACCTTTCCCATGAGGAGTATCCTACACAAACCCGAGTTGTCGGGTAGGTTGGCTAAATGGACCATCGAGTTAAGTGAGCACGATACAACCTATCAGCCGTGAACAATGATAAAGTCGCAAGTACTTGCGGACTTCGTCGCCGACTTCAGTGCTAAAATAATGCTTGAGGCCGAAAGGGAAGCCACTAATACTTCCTCCAAGTTACATGACCTATGGATTCTATACACTGATAGAGCCTCCAACGCATCAGGATCT